AGCTCCAGCAGCATCTGGGATGTCTACGGACCCAGCATGAGCCTTGGGGTGGCACGGGGCAAGACCAAAGTCGCTGGCTGGGATACTGCATTACAGGTTCGCCAGCTGCTTTTGCTATGACTGGATGCCTTGGAGAAAGGGGCCAGCCTGGGGGGAGGGGCGGTGAACTTGGCAGGCAGTGTGGGAAAGACCTGCAGAGGGGCATGAGGGAGGTAGTCACTGGACACTAAGGCTGGAGACTCCAGCTCTACATGGTGTTCCCAGGCTTGGGTCTTGTTTAATCCACATAGGAGGGACCTGTCGCACCCATGTGGGGTGTCCCTAAAATCTCTGTGACCGGCCTGACCTTTATCCCTAGGTAATCTCACTTAAGGGTTGGAGTTTCAGTGGGGCATTGTGGTTGCTGCAGAAGCACCCAGTTAACAGTATTAACTGGACAGAACTGCTTTGTTCTGGTCTGGGGAACATTGACTCTGCTCTCTGACTTTCTAAGGAATTTTGTTGTAACAGTACACTTTGGAAGCATGTTGGACACCGTATTGGCACATGTTGCTTTGCTATCAATTATCCTTTCTGTAGAGAGTTCATATTCTCCTGTGACTTACCTATATTGATGGACTCACCAGAAGCTTAAGCAGACAGGACAGGGAGTGCTGGATACCTTCTTCCTGTTCTCTGAGGATCATTCTCCCCTCCCTCCTCTTTTCCCCTCCTTCCCACCATGTGCTGGAGACTGACAAATACAAGCTAGGCTTAACACTGGTCCACAGAGCCCTATCTCCAGCTCCCAGTTTTCTGTAGTAGTTACATCTGACACACTTTAATACAGCATCCAAACCAGGAAGCTAATATTGGTAGGATGGGTGTGGTCATTTCATCACCCTCATAGATCTGTGCGACTGTAACTGGTCAAGATACAGAACTTTCGGGGCTCGGAAGATGTGGCCTGTGTTGCCCCATTATCATGAAGTCCATCTTTTCCTCCCCGAAGCCCCTAGGAACTAGGTATTTTCTGTTGTTTACTTTGTCACCTAAATGGAATCATCCTGTATGTTCTTCTTGAGATTGATTTAGTCTTCTCTATGTACTGCTCTCAAGATCCATTCAAATTGCTATATAAACCAGTAGTTTTATTGTTCCCATTGCTAAACAATGTTCCAGATACCTACAATGGTTCCACGTAAAACAAAACCCTGTGAACATTCTTGTGCAGCACATCAGTAAAAGCTGTGGATGTCGAAGGAAGAGAGATCATTTTCCAATAGTGCCCAGAAAAGTTGGGGTCCCTCCTACATTCAGCCAGCACCCACCAGACAGCTGTGGGGAAGGGAAAGGTATTCAATACTGCCCCAGAGAATCTGGGTTTACACCTTTGAGCTTTTAGAGCTCCACACATAGACTCCAAACTTCTGTCAAGTCATAGACTAAAATCCAGGTCTTACCCAACTTGCCTCCGTGTGATTGCACTTTCCCAGCCAGGGGACTCTGTCATGACAGTTTCTGTCACCAGATAAATATTCCTCAGTTTATACCTTGTGGAGGAGGCAGGGTGGCAGAGTGGTGATTGCACAACATGGCAGACTGTCCATGCTCAAGTAATATGTAAGTCCTTTTACCCGCAAATCTTCCCTTTCTTTACCCTTCCACAAGGTAGCCAGTTTTTGTCTTATTTAAAGTAAACATTTACGTACTGGTCATTTTGCACTGCTCTTCTGGATTGTAACTACTGAGGTATGTGTGTCTGTGTATGTCCTGTGTGTATATATGTTTCTTTGTAAGCGTGTGTCTATGTGTTTCTGTGTGTCTCTCTATGTATATCTATGTATGTCTTTGTGTGTCTGTGCCTGTCTCTTCTTTCTGTGTATCTATGTGTGTATCTCTCTCTCTCTCTCTCTCTCTCTCTCTCTCTCTCTCTGTGTGTGTGTGTGTGTGTGTGTGTGTGTGTGTGTGTGTGTGTGTATGGTCAGGAGGCCCTCAACCTGTGGCCGGGTAGTTAGCCCACTCCCACAGTCTTGCTGCAGTGAGCACCTATGGTAAGTCAGTGACTGAACAAAAGGCCCACTGAATCTTACTTATTTGACTAAGATGACAGTCATTAGGAAGACAAGATAAGAAATGCAAATATATTGACCACAGTCCTAACATTGCAGGCTTTGTGTTTTCTTGAGCATGATGGGAAGGGAAGTTGGTTTTTTCTTTTAGAGCATTTTATCTAAAGAAAAGAAAAAGTACTTTCTGAAGTCAACATGAAAATTCAATTACTACATCAGTGTGGACAAAAATCAAGCATAAGCTGTGTAATTTAAAATCAGCGGCTCAAGAGAAAGAATGACACCATACAACAGCAACAGGGTTCAAGCAGAGGTTTTTTTTGTTTGTTTGTTTTTTTTTTTGGAAAAGGGATCATATAAATGGGAAAGGGGAGGGAGGGACTAACATCTGGGGACAGGAGCAGCAGGAGAGAGGAAAGAGGGCAGAGGAGCAGAGAGACAGAGACAGAGAGACAGAGAGAGACACACACAGACAGAGAGAAAGAGGGGAGGATGGAAGGGGGCAGGGTCCTTTTGAAAAGGGAACATAGTGAATATGCACAGGTGGTGCTCTTAGTGGCTGCAGCTGAGGATCCTGCAGATCCTGTCAGAACACCCAGGACAGGCCAGTACAGATGCCTGAATACTAACAATAATTACTTTCAAGGTATTTTAGGATACTATTTTGATATCCACGCTTTGAAGAGGGAAACAAAATACAATGCTTTTCATGATTCTTTATACCAAAATTTCTTTAAAGTTTGAACTTCTTAAAACTGGCAGCTAAAGTCAACCTCGGCCAAATGTCAGCTTTCCATTTTAGGCAAAGTAGACCCTTATTATTTTGGCAATAATGAGGTCAGTCTTTGGATTCCATTTCTCCTGCTGGGACCCCGATTTTCTCCCCAAAGTCAAAGTGTTCTTCTCCACTCAAGCTTTCTCCACTAGCCCAGCTCTCACTAGCCCAGTGAAATGTCCCTTCAGCAGGTTAACAGGTTTGATTGATAAAATACCAAATTGGGTTTTCTGATACCAATTATGCTTTCCTGCCAGTTGGTTGGTATTTCACTGAGCACAGCTTTGGTCAACCGCAGGGTGTGTCTAGTAGTGAGTGCTCTTATTGGTGACACTGACCACATGAATAACCCTCCATGCTCTGAGCCACAGCATACCTTTAAATAAAGTCACAGTGCTCTAACCAACAGAGGAGAATTTGAGGAGAGGGCTGCATTCACAGCTTCTAACGTAATCCAGTCCCCCTTATACTGTGACTTATGTAATCTCTCTTGTTAAGAGACTGGAAATCCGTATTTACACATATGTCAATATAACATCACCCCAAGATATCCCAAAATTCTGGTTATTGAGTGGGGTCCACGTGGATATATATGAATTTCATGATGCCTTTATTGCTGTTGTTAGTGTGTGTGCATGGTGTGAGTGTACGTGCGTGCTCAGGTTGTGGCTTGAGTGTGGAGGTGAACGGATGTCTCTGAGGACTTGCTCCTGTCTTCTCCACCATGTAGCTCTTTGGGATTGAGTTCCAGTTGCCAGGCTTGTCCAGCAGCCTCCCTACCTGCTTAGCTAGCTCTCTGGCCCTCATGATCTTATATTTAGGAAAATTCTAAATACTCCAAAAAAAAGTGTTACAACAAATAAATAATTTCCATAAAGTTGCAGGCTAAAAAGTCAGCATATAAACATCAGCTGTTAACTACACTATATGTAATATCCCAAAAGTAAGTTAACAGCAGCAGAAGTAGTAACAACAACTGATGGCCTTTACAATAGCATTTGATTTTAGGCAAAAAGTTAGGCAGGTAGGTCAAAGGCTTGCACATAGAAAACTATAAAACATTGATGAAAAAAAGAAAGACAGCAAATAAATGGAAACATATCTTGGTTTTGTGGATGGGAAGCTTAATGTTACTAAAATGTTCATAAGACCCAAAGTGACAGAGTCAGCACTGGTCCTCTCAAATTCCCACTCACTGAAAACAACAACAACAACAAAAAGGAAAACCAGATAGAAATAGAAAAAAACAATCCTGAAATTTATATAGTACCACAAAAGACTCAAAATAGCCTGAGTGACCTTCAGAAAGAACAAAATTAGAGACATCATACTTGTTGATTTTAAAATGGTTTGCAAAGTGTAAGTAATTAACACTGTGTGATGCTGGCCATGCAGACAGATAGCCACATAAATCAGCAGACTAGAACAGAGATCCCAGGGTTAAATCCATGCAATATGGTTAATTGATTCTCAACATGACCGATAATGATACACACTGGAGAAAAGATGGCCTCTTCAGTAAATAGTGTTGGGGAAAGTTGGTAACTACACAGTAGACAATAATATTGTGATCCCATCTCATAACACACACACATCCTCTGAATGACATAAAATCATGACTGTACAGAATGAATATAATTGTATTCTCCTATAATTTTGGGAAAAACATAGGTTAAAGGGTTTTTGACCCTGGCCTTGGCAATGACATCAGAAGCAAGGGGAGGAAAAATGGGGGAAATAAACAAACCAGGACTACATTAACCTAAGAAGCACCTCTGCACAGCAAAGGGAATGAGAGAATAGGGCAGTGTAGGGTGGGAGAAAATGTTTGCAAACTACGTGTCTCATACATGTCAGCATCCAGACTACATAAAAGCAATAATCCAGCTGAAGATGGGCTAAAGACTTGAGCAGACCATTCTCGAAGGGTGGCACACATCAGGCTATCAGCTCCATGAAGATGCATATCTACCTACTCGTCAGAAAACATAGGAACACGGTGAAGTCCTGCATCGCACCACTCAGAACAGCTGATTCAGAAGGGAAACCCAGAAGATGGCAAGAGTACTGGCAAGAATATGAAGAAAGGGAGTCTTGGTCATTGCTGTTAATGATCTGAAAGTTATGCAGGGCTTCCTCCATACTTAAAATCAGCCTACAATGTTACTCAAAAGTCCTACTTCTTGGTATTTATTCCAAAGAATTGAAATCATGACCTCAGACAGGTAGCTGTGTGTTCATTTTCATGGCAGCAGTGTTCACACTAACCAACTTAGGAGACAACCTGTTTGTCCATTGACAGGTGAGTGGTGGAAGAAAATGTGTCTTCGTGTAAGATTAAATCTTCTTCAGGGTGCCACGTTGACAGTGTAGAAGGTACTGTGCTAAACGAAACACTCCCAGTGCTCAAGGCAAATCCTGCAGCTTCCACTTGTATGAGGTACCTAAGATAGTTCAAGACATTAGCAGTAGAACATACCAGAGGATTCCTAGGCGATATGGGGAGGACAAATGTCGGGGGCTGATCAACCGATTGGAAGTTATAGCTCTGCAAGCCTAAAGTTCTGCTGTTCAGCCTTGCACCTACTATTAAGAATAATTAAGATGTTGTCACACTTAAAATGAACCAGCCCGAGTTTGGTATCAGCAAACATTAAGAGTGTTCGGATATCCCTGATAATCATTCTCCTCCACCCCACTATTCCACCCTCCAACCCCAGGCCTGGTTCAACCCTTAGTTCCTGTGAGTGAGAGTCCAAGCAGGGCTCTTGATGGTGCTTTATGTGCTTCTCAGGTCTCCTCACCCCCCCCCCCAGCAAGCAGTCTATTTGATGATGGAACTCAGTGATTTGTCTTATAGCATTATCCACATTCTAAAGAAAAGGTAGACTTTGCTTTTCCTTAGCTTGTTGCCTGGAGGACCCTTCAGCCTATAATTCTGATTGTTTTGCCCAGTGTCTTTCCTACATGAAGCATGTGATTCACTTGACACTTCTTCCTCCAGGGTGCAGCTGACCGGGAGTGCACTTTGAATCAGGTTTCAAAATGTTCACCAGAGGTGTTTGTTCAACTTTCCCCAAAGATTGCAAAACATAACCAGTAAATGCAAGGTGTTGTTTGGGCTTAAGACTTGTGCCATGTGGCCATGTTGTAAAAGCACTTTTATTAGTGATATGAACTGAAACATTTATCCTGAAAGTAGAGAACGTATAATAACGTGAGGGAGAATGGAGCTTTAGATGGAGTAAGAATGGCCATGGTTAATAAGAGTACCGTGGTAGACCCTACATGAAAGCACAGTATTTTATACTATCTACTTTTACACAAGTCTGAAAATTCTGACACTTAAAAAAGTAAAGCTGAATCACACCACATTATCCAAATTAATGAGGCATTTTGGAAACCTATAGTTTTGCCAAGGATCATTAAAAAACAACAAAAATCATGCCTTAGGAGCAATGAACTGGCTTTCTCACACTGTAAGCATGTTTTGCCTAAAAGCAAGTCAGATTTCAACTTTGAAATAAGCATATAAATATATTGAGATGGAGAAATGGCCTGGAGTGGGTGAGACTATGACTCACCATAAGTGGCTTAGAGGTTTGGTTGCAGATCATCCTTCAGTTCGGGTGCTTTTGGATGAAGGTTTTGGAGGTGTAACAGTTGCCCAGGGGTAAGGCTTCAGGTTGGTGAGGAGAGAGCAGTCTGCATTGAGGTAGGGTTGGCTGTTTGTGTCCTGTTTGTGCCATTTTTCACATTCAAAATAAGAGATCTGCCTGAAGAGGCAAAGGAACAAAAATCTACTTATCCAGGCCTAGTGGGTTAAATAAGTTTCCAGAAACCAACTTAGTCCCGATCCCTGGGCTCACATCTGGAGGGAAGACAAGCAATGAGACAACAGCTGTAATCTGTAAGATCAGTGTAGCACCAGGTGCTGGGGATGAAAGCTCAGCCCAGCCCAGCCCAGCCCAGCTTAGAGTGCTTGCCTAGCCTAGCAAAAGCCCTGGGTTCAACCTTATCATTAAAAGCAGACCGACAATGGATAACAAGTCCACAACCCAAAAGTGTCTCCCAGTGTAAACTTGCCATTGTCAGCGCTCTGGTTGAGAGAAACTAGAAACTTTTTATTGAGCAAGAAATGGGAAAATAAATGACTTGTGTTTATTATTGCCATACTGAAATTGGTTAAAAAAAGAAACCAATTCTGTAATTCTGTCTCTAATCTTTCAGGAATTTGACACTCAAATTCCTCTTCACTGTGACTTCCTACAAAGTCACTCAAAAAAAATCTCAAAATGAAAAAGCAACTCACCTGATAAGACACACACACACACCTCACTCAAAATCTCAAAATGAAAAAGCAACTCACCTGATAAGACACACACACACACACACACACACACACACACCCCAGAGTTTTAATTCCCATCTTTGTGAAATTTTTTATTTCGAAAATAGAATAGTAGTGTGTGAGAACGTGTATAGTTTTTATGATTCCTTTATTCTTCACCAAAATAGACTGGGGAAAAGAGCCTGCAGCAATAACATGTGAAGAGGTCGGCTGTGGGAGGTGGCGGGCAGTTGGGAGTGGCCCGTGTGGGTGGTGCTGAGCTGCCTGACCTGACAATAGTGTGGAAATGATTTTCCAAAGGTAAACTGGAAGAAATGTCCTGTATCTGTACTTGGAAATAAAATGGGGTTTTTGTTTGCTTGTTTTAAAAATCTCTTCAAGTCTTACCTTCAGCAAGTAACAGAAAACATTAGGCAAAAGAAGACATTCTGTTTACATATACTGGTTTGTTTTTCTCTAAAATGAGAGTCACTAACCCAAGTGAGGGGACCACTCTGGGTGTGTGCGCTTTAGCACCATTCAGATATACTTAATGTTAAGAGTCCATTTGCTCACTAAAAGTGATAAATAGAATAAAGATTTAAAAATCATAGGGTCTGATAGTAAAATATTACTATACTATATACACGTTTCTATTCTGCAGAATATACCAGTTCACACATATAAACTAAACCGTGTTTGTATGTTTCTTTAAATATTCTTATCTTAGAATTGGACATGTTTGAGTTGCTGATGTTGCTATGACAAGTTCATATATAATTTTAATAAGTGTTCAAGATGTTAATCTGGCCAATGGCTGGGGTGTTTTAAAGAGCCTATTGGGAAAGCCACTTGTCCCAAGGATCTGCTAACATTCTAAGTGTCAGAAGTTGGGGAATGATTCATGAAATGTTGGCCTGAAGGCCTGGGAGTTAAACTCGCCATCTGGATTTTAGCCAAGGATGAGGAATGAAATGTTTGAATTGGAATCCATTCATTTTATGTGTAGTCAGTAATCTGAATCAAGAGTCGCCTACTATTTAGGAGTAGCTTGATTCTCTTTTAAAATATTCGGTTCAATGCCTGTTACTTTATTTACATGGTCCATACGGAGTTAAGCTACATGGTCAACAATAACCGAAGGTATTTAGTTTTTACTATATTTACCTCAGATTGTCTTACAATATTTTTACATAAATCATATCATTACTGTAGACACAGAGTGAAGAGAGGGGAATATTTTCAGTAGCCACTAGAATCCTTTACTAAGTCACTTTTGCTCTCCAATCTACTTAATTCACGAATGGTATCTCACCTGTATTTTATAGACGATTATTCCCAAACCACATTAGCTCATGTAACATACTTGTTCATTAATGGATCTTGCACTGGGCTTGTCCCACTGGGACCACACCAAAGTGGGTGGGACCAAGAAAGATGGCTCGGCATCCTTAAAGCTCAGCATGCAAGTGACATGCATATACTTTGGCACTGAGAAAATGTGTCTTCATTCATCCTTGGATCTTGAAGTTTTTGTCAGATGAAGGGAAAAGAATGATAACCCAAGCTTGACCAAACACACCCTATCCCCAAATTTGCCAGGACACGTGTGTGTGTGTGTGTGTGTGTGTGTGTGTGTGTGTGTGTTTAAACACTGCTAAGGACAGGTTCCAGGGAGGATTTACACCATGGCACTGTTCTGTTTCACATGGCAGTTAATATTAAACAAACACACATTGCAGTCCATGTCTTATTACAAGGTTGTTTTCAGAGGTTCCGTGGGTCAGGGCCAAAGCTTGTCCTTTTCCAGCTTTCGACAGTGCTGATCAATAGCTTAACAAGTGAGACAGAGTCCACTGAGCAGCAGCAAAACTTCCCAAGCAAGAGGTGCTACATCCGACTCAATCCTATAATCAAATCTACAACATCTCTTAACTCATAAAAATAAATAATAAAATATCTTGTTTAGTTTGAACACTAAAATGCCTGTTATCTCCTTTAGCTCTCAAAGTAAACTGGCATAAGCTTGTCAAATCCAGTTATAAAGAGAAATCTGGGGTTCCAGAATATTTACAGGGTTTTGTTTACTTCAGAAATGCCTTTTGTTGTTGTTGGCTTGTTTGTATTTTGACTATTCCTTTTTTTTTTTTAATGCAGTATTGCTTTGTAGTCCAGGCTGGCCTCAAACTTATGATATTCCTGCATCCATCTAACCTTGGCATTACAGGTGTGTACCACCATGCCTGGATTAACAAAGTCCTATTAAGCACGTGTATAGGGCATCAGCATTGTGGACAGTTCTTTAAAGGCACTTATAAATATACAATCTCCACTGCCCATACCAAATGCCCATCTGAACACTGTACAGATGTTAGCTTGGTTAGTACTTATAAAAGGAGTGTGAGGTAGGCATTATTGTTTCCTATTATAGCTGAGAAAGCTGAGGCAAGGGAAAAGGCAAAGAGAAATGACAAACACCTTGCCCAAAGCCAGATCTCTAATATGCTGTAGAGATTGGAGTTAAGTCTAGGCAGGAGTCTCTGGAAAACCCCATGTGATACGTGCTCTTGTAGAAGGCAGACATGTACACTGTGAGAGACTCCCTACAAACTTATAGCACAGCTAGTAATTGATGGAGAATTAGAACAAATGTATTCTGAGTCAAACCCATTTCCAATGGTCACTCCAGCTTGAGTTAGCACTAGAACTGAACAACTATGCTTGGCCATTCTGCTCCTGGGTGTGTCAGACACAATCTCCACTGGATTAAAAGTTTTAAACAGAGAGTGGTTCAAACAAAAGCAGGGAACTTGGGGGGCGGCGGGAGGTAGTGGTGAAAGCTGTGAGGAACCCTCCAAGAAAATGCTGTTAGCTTTTGAAGAGAAATACATATACCAGGCTATGTTGATCTAGATGAACATCTTCTATAGAGATAAAGATTAAATGACCCATCAGACAAAAATGCAAGTCAGCATCCCATTTGTTACCAGTCTCCCCACCAGGCTATGTTGGTCTAGATGAACATCTTCTATAGAGGTAAAGATTAAATAACCCATCAGACAAAAATGCAAGTCAGCATCCCATTTGTTACCAGTCTCCCTATATGGCGTCCTGTAAGCGAATCAAAGAGAAACATAACAGAAGGTAGGCTTGTAAGTAAGACATTACAGTTACTGAACACTTTATATGTATGATTTACTCAAGCATCACCTTTTAGGTAAATTTTAAAATGATAAAGATAAATTTAAATAAATGGAATTATAGATTCTTATTTAAAGATAAGTTCAACTACCTAGGAAAGAACAGTCAGCTTTCTAGAATTAAAAACTGATTCCTGCTGGAGAGATGGCTCAGTGGTCAAGAGTACTGGCTGCTCTTCCAGAGGTCCTGAGTTCAGTTCCCAGCAACCACATGGTGGCTCACAACCATCCATAATGAGATCTGGTGCCCTTCTCTGGACAGAATAGTGTATACATAATAAATAAATAAATCTTAAAAATGATCCTGTTTTAAAAACAAAATACATTAGAGTAGGTGGTCAGCAGAAACCAGATGTGGACAGTGTTTCTTTCCAGCCAGGTCCCGCAGCCCAAATAAATATACACTGAGGTTAATATTAATTATAAACTGTCTGACCTATGGCTAAGGCTTCTTATTGACTAGCTCGCTCTTAATTATCGCATTTCTATTCATCTATGTATCTCTACATGGTCTTGGCTTATTGGAGAATGCCCAGGCATCCTACCTTCTTTGTGGCTACATGGCGTCTCCCTCTGAGGCTCCTCTCTGCCTCCCTCTTCCCAGCATTCTCCTAGTCTGGTAGCCCCACCTGTACTTCCTGCCTGGCTACTGGCAAGTCAGCATTTTTTCATCAACCAATAAGAGAAACATATATTCACAGCATACAGAAGGACATCCCTCATCATCTCTTTTCTGTCTAAATAAAAAGGAAGGCTTTAACTTTAACAATAAAATTATAACAAAACAGTTATCAAGCAAGAACTAGAGTTAACAATATTTAGTTCATTAACATGTGGTAAAATTTAAAATATTCTATCATCCTATCTTTGTTGAGTCTAAAGTTTTATGTGTAATTTATAACTAAGGAAAACCATAACCATAACTATCTTCAACTCCATCAAAGACCTCAGAAGAATAATATATAAACTCTAGAATTGACAAAGACATTGTCACAACTCTTGTCTATGTCACCATCAAGTAGCTTGTAGCACACTGCCCATAAACCTTTTTTTGTCTGTATGAGTTAAAGCTAAATCTGCAGCATGTTGTACGGCTTGGAGGAGACATGGTCTCTGTGTACCTCGACGGGAAACTGCCATGCCCACATGCCCGACTGCCACAGCATCTCTGCACCATGACCTGCATGAGACTGTGAGACTAGGAAGCCCAGTGAGGCTCCAATTCTGTGTTCAGAACCCTTTTTAAGCTTTTGTCAGGTTTACATGAAGATCCTTGCCCCACATTTGGGAGCCATTTGTGGACGGAGTTTCTTTCCAGTCAGGTCCCACAGCCATTTAGTCCCAAATAAACATGCAGAGGTTTATATTAGTTATAAACTCTTTGGCCAATGACTCAGGCTTCTTATTGGCTAGCTCTCTCCTGGATGGTAAGCCAGACTCATGATGTGTCAGTGATGTTTATAGTCCAAGATCACTTGCATCAGCACAGCTTCTAACTGTACATTGTCTTGCCATATCTGAATTCTTGAGCTCTGTGTGGTGCCGGTGGGTTAGATTTTTGCATGTGCTGATTCTAGTTGAATAACAACAATAAGACCTGGTATTCAAATCCCTGTGTGATCCCTGCAGTGACCTCCCATCTGTGTTTTAACACTGCAGATGCTTCTGGCAGCCAGTTGCATCTCTTGCCTCCTTAGAAGACGAATGCTGTGTGGTTCTTTATGAGTGTTTCAGACATCTTTACTGTTTAACTCCTTGTGTCTTCATTACCTCTGTCTTCCCTAATCAGAGGCTGCCT